CACACACACACACACACACACACACACACACACACACACACACACACACACACACACACACACACACACACACACACACACACATATAATGTATACAAATTTTTTCACTGTACTTATTTCAAATAATTAACTAATGTTTAGTTCATTTCTAATATAATACAAGCAATCAGAATGCATCAATATATAATTGATTCTATTTTTACCATTAGAAATATTAATCATAAATTTATATATGAGGACCAAACCGCATAATCGCTTAAAAGATCAAGTAGTCAATCTATAATAATCTCTAATTAGATAAATGTGAAAAGAACAATTTGAGAAAGCAGATGATTTCTTTGTGGAACTTGAACGGACTATGTAATGTGATAAATAAAAAGAATTATCTAAAAAAGAGAAGAACTAAAACTCCTTGTATATTTTTATACTCTATTAAATAATTACATATACCTTTACATATTACCATTACCTTTACATATTACTTTGTTTCGTAATAAATATTTAATTTAGTTTTTTGGAAAAGCAGTCTAAAATATTTCTTTTTCTATGTTAATTTATATTATACAATATAATTTATGATTTTTATACCAATTTTATTGTAAATGTACAGCTTTTTTTATATTTTTTATTATATATATATAGATAGATATTATCATTTGTTCTTTCTACATTTTTCTCTTTTTCTTAATATGCTTTGTTAATTTATTTTATAAAAAGATAATTCTATATTTACGCGATTTGTTGTTCTTTTTTTGCAATACATATTGAATTCATATCTATTTCTGTATATTATGTTTAGTAAGAAAAGTGCAATCATCAGATTTTCTGAACACAGAGAGAGGTTCTAAATATTGTTGCTGATTTTTTATATTAGCTAAACCCATCTTGCTGATAGTATCCATATATTCGGAGCATTCTTTGAACGATTCGTCCCAAAAAGAACAAGTTTCTGTTTCCAATTTATAATTATAACAATTATGAAAATTTATTATTATGTGTTATTGATAATCAGTTATAATTATTCATATTATATAATGTAATATATAATAAAATACCTTTACTATAAGTATAATCTGTAATGTTTGAATTCTTTCAGCGGTCTCTTGTTTATATAGTCGACGTATGGATAGTCTTTACTATTTGTGCTTACCTTGCTTATCATTCAAGATATTTATTGTTTTAAAGGGTTGAGTCTTTAAATTTTCTATAGTTAAGTATCTAAATCTGGTCAGATCTTTATAAGCATCTTTTAAATCGATTGTCGGCATAATAGATAGCCCAATTGGTGAATCCATTGCTGCCATTAATAATTTGTATCGTGTGACAAGCCAACCTAGAAATATAATTTGATATAACGAATAACAGATGAGATAATAAAGAAAGGGTAATGCAGATTTTCATTCAAATTCCTTCGTCAATATTATTAAAGAATATTATTTACCTTTCTTCTTATAATCTGTTTGATAAACACTCTTCATTATCTCTTCTACATCGCAATCATTGTCTAACATAAATGATGTGAGATTTGTCCTTTCATGATTGACTTTTATCAGGTCGTCGTCAGGAAGTCGACATTTCTTGTCAACTAACTGCTTATATCTGTAAAACGAAACGAAAAAGTCTCAATGCATAATAAAACATTGACACTCATATATAAAGGGTTATACGTATTACTCAAACTGAGATTATTAGAAAGAAAAAAACATTCAATTAGAAACATTTTGTATTTACCTAACTTTTTTAACTTTTAAGCCATGAACATCACATTTACAATCCTCCGAATCGGGTCTAGAAAGATACGGCCCAATATTCATCGGTAATAGCGATTTCGAAGATTTCACATATACTCAATTACAATCCTGATGAATTATATTAATAAAAATTTCCGACGATTAATTTTGTTACTGCATATTTTTATATACATAATCACATTATGTTTTAATCAGAATAAAATATAGCGATGTAATCTGAAGTATACATAATATTTGATATTTTTTGCAAATAGAGTTTGAAAAATCAACTATGTGTCTCTCATTTCATTGCATTCCTTATACATTTTCCCTTCTTTCCTCTTTTTTTTTCTTTCTACTATTAACTTTTTCTACTATTAGAACATATATTTACTTTTATTTTTTCAATATTCGCAAAACAATATATGCGTTAAAAAGGCGAATAAAATATTAATTATTATTAAAATTTTATTTATAAAATAATTTATTTAATTTTCCATATTGATTTATAAAAAATTGTACTGCATATATGTATTATATATATATATATATGTGTGTGTGTGTGTGTGTGTGTGTGTGTGTGTGTGTGTGTGTGTTG